CGACCTCAATAGCTTTAGCCTCGTACTCCTCTTCCTCATCACTTGCTTCTCCGTCCCTAAGATTTTTCCTCACCTCTTTCTCTTCTTCGTGCTTCTGCTTCCACTGAGCCACCCACTTCTCCCATTCCTCCTTCAACATTCTTCTTTTCTCGCGATCCTGCTCGCTCAAGAAGATTGAAACATCCTGGTCCTCTGCCTCATACTTCTTGCTGTACTTCTTCAAGTTCTTTGCAATCTCCTCCTCTTTCTCAGGAGTCAAGAATGATGGTGGCCTTGGGCGCCATAAGAACTACAACAAACGGGTACACAGTTAGAGCATGAATCTATTACAACTAGAATTTATATTTTGTCACAAAGGGATCTGGTACTTCCAAATCTCTCATCACAAACTTCATTGCATACAACACTACGACGTTACAATGAGAAAAAAGAATTTGTAAACTAAATTATTTTATACCCAATTCCTTCATTTCTTTTTCTGTTGTAAGAACCTTGATGCAAATTGTAATAGAGATGATTAAAGTTTTTAAAAATTGAGTAATATGTCAGAATATAGAGCATGTGAATAAGATTCAGTGCCTCCTCTATAATGGCATTACCTGAAAGAAATGATCCTTTAGTATCCGATAAAGTAGCTTGCCATTGAATGTCCAGATGTTGAAGCCGTTCTCCATCTCATGGACTGAGGTCACTGTAGTAGCTACGTATCTGAAAGACAAAACTAGCATGTCAAAATCAAGACGCAAGTAAGAAACCAACTGACAAGTAAGATATCCAAAATTATACCTTCCGGTCGGATCCCATTCGATATCCGTCGCCATGAAATGTTCAGCGGTGGCCATGGTTTCCAGCTCATCTACATTGTAAAACTCTAGCTGCCCATTAAAACCTTTCAATCCTGCCAGAATGATGAAGTGGCCGGTAGGTGACCAGTAAAGGGCATTTGCCTGCTTTCCCTTGAGAGTAGTGAGCTTTGAAACACGGCCAGTATTGTGAGCACTTCGCATGGAGTAGAAACTTATGTCGGGCCTTGGGTTGTTATTCGCGTTCGTGTTATCACAATGAATTACTGCGAACCGGTGGCCCTTAGGCTCCCAAGCGAATGCAATAATTTTGTCATTCTTATTCTCCAATTCCAAGACTTCGATAGGAATGTCCCGCTCCTTGATTCTGAAAAGCTCAAATCCAGTGTATGTGCTTTTCTTTGTTTTGGTGTAGCGGTCGACTTTAACAGCTAGATACTCCCCATTGCTCTGCCAATACATTTTGCAATCGCTGACGCTGAAAAGATTCTTCTGCCTCAACTCCTCCTTAGCAGGGATTTGAACAAGACTCACCTATTTGTATCAGCGAAGCATTAGTTTAACTACCCTACAGTGAAATACAGAAAAGGGGAAGAGGAAAAGACCAGATCTAGGAAAACAGAAAGTAAAATGGAACAAGATACACACCCTAGCAGGCTGGTTGCCACCACCCAGTTCTGGAACAAATAGTGCAAGAATCGGATCAGTTGGTGACCAACTGAAGTCCATGACATTTTCCACCTTCATTGACTTTTTGTCTACAAGAGAAAATGTTTCCGTCTCGTATACAGAAATAACATTTTTTCCCATCCTGGCAAAGTACTTGTCATCTTTTCCCCCGGCCCATCTGCAAATATTAAAAGAAAGGTAAACCATTAAAATACAGTTAACACTCAAAACACTCAATTTCACATTTGCATCATATAAACTTACTTGAAAACAGGCCAAGACACCCCAGCAACACCTCCAGCTCCTCCAATAGCAAAATCATCTGGGCTTCCTTTAAAATCTCTCATTACCTTTCCGGTCCTCACATCAAAAATGTTTATCACGACCCTCTGTAAAATAATTTCACATTAGAAGCATAAACAAGGCAAAAGAAAAATCACAAAAAGTATTGAATCTCACTCACATTTGCATCACGAGGATTGCTTGGTTCATGGCTGCTGTATGTCACCAAGTATTTCTCACCAGGTGAGAAATCAATCAGTCGAACCTGCAGTTGACAGTTAGAGGTAAGGACCGAGAGAGAAAACAAATACAGATACCCCCTAAAATTGAAACCAAAAACCAAAAATAACCTGGGAATGAGCATAACGCATCAGACGATTGAACGTAGAGGCGCCTCCCCAGACTGCAGCACCCTGCCTATGAACGGTGGCCAGGTAAGTCCCCAGAGGGGACCACTGCACGAAGCTCTCAGTCCAGAACTGTAACAGATAATACATATGATTATTCTCGGTTGAAGTATCCAATATAAGAGAAGGTGACCATTTAGAGAGAAAACATTAACAATGTGTAAAGGGGAATACACATCCACTTACAGTGCGTTTGTAGAACGGTTCCGGCTTCAGGTGCCTTGCATCGTTCCATAGCACTTCCGTGTCCGCACCATAACGAATGACCAGTTGGTCCCTGGCCTTTTCGTCGGTTAGCCACTGTTGAAGGTTTTCCTGTAATGATAACCAAGAAGATAACATAATAAATTCCAGAGCTTATTTCCAATTCATGATGTCCAAAAATTTGATTGATTAGAGCATAATTACCCCTGGTGTATACGGTTTACTTTCTGGAGGGGCCCATTGATCCGGAACACTCATGAACCGATCAAAGTCGTTAAAAATGTTGACAACAAAAATATGTGATCGATCCAGCTTGTATCCATGAGTCCTCTCTTTGGCAAGCTCAGCTTCCTACAATCACAACAATGCAAGGTTACATATCAATCGTTCGCACACAGAGACATAGTTTGGGACCCAAGTGATGATTATTCATTACGCGTATCTATCAATCTTCGAATTTTCATTGGAAACACAATATATACACAATATGCCCTTTATGAGAGAAAAGATACCTGAGGAGTATTAAACTCAAGGAAGCAATACCCCAAGGTTTTATTGGTTTCGGGGTCAAGAGGCATCCAAAAGCCGTCGTCTTTGATCACACCAATCTGGCTATAGATTTTACGAATGACGTTTTCGAGCTTCTCAAACTTTTCCAAAGGAACAACAGGGAGGTTATCAACAACAATTATGTTGCTAAACCCTGCGTCCAACTCCGAATTGTCCACATTGTATATATCCTCATCATCACTACGCAACCATAAAAACCAACCATTTAATTAATTAAAAAAAAAAAACTCAAATCATGCTTCTACAGAGCAAAAACACAAAATTAATAAATTCCAAAAAAGGAACTTCCGTTATCAAACTTATGGAACCACGATAGGGTTTGGGAAAGAACGAATCTTGCTATCAATTTTCTGGAAAGTCAGGGTTTGGTTCGGAGCTAGGATTACCTGATAATGCCAAAGTCTTCGCCGGCAGGGAGGCGGATGGAATCGAGGTCGAGCTGCGAGAGGTCGATTCCGATTCGGGCCGCCGTCGCCTCTATGTCATTGTACGTCATGACGTCCGCCATGTTTATATCGGAGAAGCCGGATATTCGAGAGGGCCTCGCGCAGCAGTGCGACGGAGGTGAAGAGGAAAGCTTTTTAGGGTTTTGGTGCGACTGTGTGTAGCAGCTATCGCTTGTGTTGCGGATGCGTTCTTTGCTCTCAATTGGAACTTGGAACTTTGGAACCTGGTCCCGCGAAATAAAACGAAAAGATAAATATTTATGTCTATTTGTCTGTAATTGTGTTTGGTTGGGATTTTGAGAGAATTTTTTTTAATAAATTTAAAAGTATGTTATTTAAGTTTGAAATAATTTTTTGAAGTTTAAAGTGTATTAGATTAGAAATTTGAGATAGTTCATCGAAATTGTTAAAAATTCGGATATATTCAAGTATAGTTTTAAAGAACTTTATAACATTAAGTGTTTCTAATTAAAAATTAATTTTAAAAAACTTTAAAAGTTGAGGAATCGAGAGAGTCGGATAATTTTTACTTTGCATTTTAACATTTGTTGAATTTCGAGGAATCAAAGTTTGATGTGAAATTTCTCCTATCAACTAAACTTATCAAAACCTTTTAAAATCAATTAATACTTATTAAAGTAAGGCCAAGCCCAAAAAAAATAATGAAAATCATGGGCCTTTCACCAAAAAGATTATAATGGGTCTATACTAGTTATGGCCTTGAGTCTAAGTAGCTTGCGTTTCCTTATTTCAAAGTTCTTTTGAAATGGTTGAAAGTACTTTTAATAAAAATATTTTTGTATTTCAAAAGCACTTGAAGTACTTCGTACAAGAAGCACCATTATGTGCTTCATGCAGATGCACTTCAAGTGTTTTTCCAAGATTCACTTGCACTTTTACTAATTTTTTTTTAAATAACCAAAAACGCTTTCAATCATTTTAAAAGCACTTCTAAACGATTCAATTTTAGAACTTGTTTGAAACTGCTTTTTAAATGTTAAATTATTTTATAACAATTAAACACGCTTCCAACTGCATATAGCAGATCATGTTTGGAACAAGAAAAAAAAAAAACTGCGTATAGCAGAAAAACGTAGAAGCAGTTCTCGTTGTAAAAGCATCTTTGGTCGTCTCCAAAACCGTGCGACAAAAAAACCCAATAAAAACGTTCCTCACTATTGGCTTGTTTTTAGTAGGAAAAAATTTAAGTATTCGGGATCATAAAAGGGGTTGTATAAAGTACTTATTACATGCTTCTTCTTTTTAAATAGTAAAATTTTTAGTAATATTTCTACATATTCGTAGTAGAAACAGTCTTCAATAGGTGCTTGTGATATAAGCAATTCTCTAAACAGAGACAAGACTACGGGCATTAAAGGACCGAACAGTTTCAGAAATTCAAGTGACATATCGATTCGTTCTAACATATTATATGGAAGGAGTGAACTAGCATGGGGGGGTATTTTTTGCCTGGTCAGAGGCGGAGGTGCAGGTGGCGGTGCTATCTGCAGCCACGTTGAGGACAATTATACGATCCTATCCGTCTGCATGTCGCATGCAGACTTTTATCAACGCGTGTCGCATGCAGACTTCATCCGCCGTCTGCTTTAAACCCTTCCTCTCCATCGACTACGAGTTATTTTTATTAGGGTTCCTCCTATGCTTTCACTTCAGCCGAAGAGCTTTGTGGTGGTAATTATAAAATTCCAATAGATTTAAAACCGTTACCTGGATTTACCATGAAACCAAGTCAAGCAAAGTAGCAGCTCGCACAGATCGATCAGGTAATTAGACCTTGCGTTTAAGATTATTTTAGTTAATTTGCTGAGGTTCTTGAATATGTCTTGCTAGGGGAAAACTAAATTCCAGATTAATGGATTAATTTATCATGTTTGTTTCTATTTATTTTTTATTACTTGGGATAGTGTTATTTTGTTCGATTGCTTGCTATATGATGCCTAGAAATTTCTTCTTTAAATTAATTTTTCGCTTTTTCCAATCAATTTCCAAGCAATTCAAGTGAATAAGGTTTATCCAGGATACCCTATTTGAAGATTGTATTGTTACATAATTTCTATTAAAATCCATTGTCGTTTGCCCTCAAACGTGAATAAGGGGATTGATGTATTTCAATTTATAAATTCAGACGTTTTATCAAAATTCTAAGTTTATTTACCTTGTCGAAATCCAAAATTCAATTTATTAACCGGCAATAATTTGGTTGCTACATGTATCATATATATGCATAGGATGGAGGATCCAAGTGGGGAGTCCGAGCTAGAAGAATACTCCATTGAAGCTAACTATGGGAAGGTGAGGTGGATCTTGAACAAGGGATGGGGACTTGGGTTGAAAATTCTGGTGACTGGTATGGTAATTTCTTCTGCCCCAATTGTTCTTCCGCCGCTTGTGGTTATTTCCGCAATTGGGTTTGCCGTTTCTGTTCCATCCGGTGTTGTCTTGGCAAGTTATGCTTGCACTGAGAAGATCATGAGCAAGTTGCTCCCTTATGGTGAACCTCCTCTTTTGTCGGAAAATAATGGAACGTTTTTCGAGCAAGATGAGGAATGGGAACGGGACACATGGGTAGGAGGGAAGACTGACATCGAAAAGGAAGAAGGATGGGATTGGAGGGACAGACTCGAAGGCGGTGAGATAAGAGTAGGACTTGTAGATGAGGAAAATGATGACATTATTGCTGAGGATCTACTAGGAAATGTAGTTGAAGATGTGGATGAAATTGTAGAAGAAAATGGATATCAGGAGGATGTTGCTGAGTCAACGAATAAGGAGGAAAAGCTCATATTGGATAGTGTTTATGAGGTGAAATTTGAAGGATTGACTGATGATTTTAAGGATGATTCTGTACTAGATGAGAATCAAGTCGATGAGGTGTGTGGATTGGTGTTGAACGTGACTGAGGGTGATGAAACTGATGATCAAATGGGAGTGACACCGATTGAAGTGGCTACCGTAGTAATTGAAGGCGAGGGTAAAGAAAGAGTTAGTGATATTGTAGAAGATGAGGAGTTGGTGGAAGAGACAAGGGGATTGCTAGAAAAAATAAGGGATGAAGGCAACGCTGATAATGCAATGGAGATGAACAAGCAGTATGTGGGAGAAACTGGAGGAGGTGGGGAGGTAAGAAATAAAAAAATTGGTTCACATGCTGAAGACATTGAGATACCAGTTGAAGCTAGAATTGCTGATATTGGATCGCAAGAACCGACTGGTATCTTGGAAGGTGGAGTTGGGGAAGTTCCAGAGGAATGTGAAGGTATGCAAGGATTCCAAGAAATGAGATATGCGAACGATGCAAAGACTATTTCTGAAGATGTCAAACCGACCAGAGATATTCGGAGTGTTTCGGAAAGCAAGAATGCTGAGAAAAATTTAGAAGTGGAGAAGCCAATAGGGGAAACCAAGAATGTTAACGATGTTTTAGAGGAAGAAAAGAAAATGGCAGATAAGAGAAATATGAAACCTGTGGTGAGCAGCATTGTGGAAGACGAGCAAAAGCCTGTGATAATCAGAGAGGAACCAGTACAGCAAGGAAGGAGAACCGAGGATACCATCAGTGACTTAGATTTTCAGTTGATTAAAGAGAAGGAAACTGTGGTATCCTCAAATTCAGATGCAGGCGGGCTTCATTTGTTCAATGACAAAAATGTTTCTGGTCAGCAAGAATGGTGTGCTTCTTGTGAAACTTCTGAAGGTAAAGCTCTTTTAAACCGATCATCACAGTAATTGCATACACTTAGTTTCTTTCCCTTACAAATAATTTGTTCCCAGTTCAGTAATTCTAGTACTAACTCATACTTTTGGAGGACCTTCAGGTAATGTGGGTGATGAAGCTACAGAGCTTCCCGTTTCAGGCATTGCACATGAATCTACAGATTCTGGGATGTCATCCGGAAAGGATTTCAACATGCAACCAAATGGGGTTAGAGTTTGTTTCATGTTCTATGTGCTTAAATAATAATCTCATATAATTAAGTTGCTGCCCTTCTTTTAGAGGGAAACACAAACTGGTGATAGAAGCCTGCTGATCGAATAAGTGTATTTAAAGTTGCAAAGTGTTTCAATTATTTAATGTGACCGATAGCTGAGTTGCTTCACTCGCTGCATCTTCAGGTACTGTACGATGATGCTAAAATAAGGGAGAAGATCGGTGCTATGCGAAGTATAGTCGGATACAAGGGCACACCCCATGCAACATGCATAGAGGAACTGAAGGCTCTTTACCTCTTCACCGGTGTGGAACTCCCGACGATATCATTTAGTGACCCTCCTGATCTCGAACAAGTTAATCACAAACTTCGCTTTCTCATGTCCATCATCGGAGTTAAACTGGACTCGTGAATTGCTGGCGGCTTGTACTTGTAGATTTTGTGTTGTCTGTTTCCGTTTTGATGTCACATTAAGGGCATTAATTAGTAGATCATTAGATCGTGTGTATTGGTTTAGCTTTTGTAAGCTGCAGATGCCAGAAAACGTTTTGATCCAAAGTTTGTGCTTCCCACAAGCTACAAACTGTAAGGTTTCATATCCTCTGCCCGTAGTGCGTTTTAGTCTCGCAAGTCTCAAGTTATCTGTAAACTTAAGTACCTGTAACTGCAAGAGCTGTGTATTTGGCTCTACTTTTACCATTTTCGTCGGTCGATATAATGTTTGCTTCTCATGGTGGTTTCTTCTGTAATTGTTTTAGGCTTTGAATCTCTGTCTACTAAACATGTCAAAGGTTTGCGATTTAAAATTCAATTGTAGAACTGCAGAAAACCTAACAAATTGACTTCGACATAAAAAAAAATAACAAACCTAACGAAATGGCTCGGTTCGGCTCTTGCCATAAAAGAAGTCAAAGGTTTTAATAAGTGCTACAAACTTTTCTTTAGGAATTTTAGTCGGGGAGTCATTTCTAACACCTAACTTTTGCATCTTGTACTTCCCTTTTATGGAGATGAATTGTCTGTCCTCCTCTGTTTTCATATTTTCATGTTTTGTACGATCACGGTTAAGTCACGTCAATATTTATTTTTTATCTTATTATTTTTATAAAAAAAATTAATATAAAATATTGACGTAGCTTAATCGTGATCATACAAAACAAGAGGGCATGAGAAGAGTATGGAAGGAGAGGGTAGACAATTCATCTCTCCTCCTTTTATTACGTCTTTCACGTGGGTGTGCCTCCATCCCCACTCAAAGTTGTCCCTATCTATGGTCCTCAAATGTGAGCAAACTTTTGAGTACTCCCGCCAATTCCTATAGTATAGGAACTAGAGCTCTGTCAAGCCACAAAGTCTCCAAATTTAAAGACGTAGTGGTAAGGACTGCATTTAAAGATTTTATTAGAGATGCTTTTAGAAAAGTATTTGAAATATTTCATGTAAAAAACGTATAATTGTGCTTCTTGCAACAAGCACAGTTAAATAATTTTAAAACTCCAAAACATTTTTCTTAGTGATGTTAAAGCACTTACAAACAATCGCATACCTTTTTTTTATACCAATTTTACGTTAAATAGAACTTTATTGGATTATCCAAGCTTTAAATAAAACAAGTCGGTCACACGTGCGAACGACAAGTGACGTGCAAACCCAAACACAGGTGGCCAATGGCCATGATAGACGGAGAAAACACAGTCAGAAATCTCGAAATCCAAAAAACCAAAAAAAAGTTATCTTCCTTCTCTCGTCTTCCCCGCAGTCTCTGCAATCCCGGACAAACCACGTTGGACCAATTATTCTCTGCTATTAATTTTCTAGAGAGAGAAAGAGGAGAGAGAGAGAGAGAGTGATTTCTACGCATAAATGTTCATGTTTGTACGAATGAGTGAATGAGAACTCCGCCTTCTCTGCTATCTCTCACCATTGACTTAGCTGTCCTCAACCTCCCCAGTATATCCGATCTCTCTCCTCTCCCTGACCACATCCTCCTCGATCTCTTCCTGGTACTCTCTCTATCCTCCTCTATTTCTCCCTTCTGTTAGGACCTTAGAATATTAGACAGCTGATTGGTAATTTGGTATTCTTGTTCTTGATTTTACCGCGAAAGTAACTTTCTTTTGGGTCTCAAATGGATTGTTTGTTTTATTGTGGACATGGGCAGGCTTGATTTGGTGAGATATGAATTGGGTTTGTCTTAATTTTGGAAATTTTGATGTCAATCGACGTGGGTTGAATGAATTGCTGATTCGCATGATTTGGGGATTTTAGGGCTTTCTACCTTTTTTGGATTTTGGGTTTGTTTTGTAATAGCATATGTATGTTGTCATCCTGCATACATTTACTGAATTATTTCTTTTAAAGACAATTTATCTGCCTAATCTTTTATGGTAAAGAATGTTGAATATGTGTTAGCTTCCTGAAGCATGGAGTGCTACCTGTATCATGTAAATTTGATGACTTTTCCAATGTTTATATTCGATCTGTAGCTCCACATGGTCAATCATGAGACAGATGTGGACTGCCTATGATCAAGATTGTTGTGTTTCCTGCAAGTTGTTGTAAAAGATTGCTCTCATTGATCACTAGTGGATAATGTCGATTTAGCAGAGAGAAAATAACATCATCCCCACCCTCAGCCCCCAACCGATCCCTCTCCCCATTGTGAAAGATCAGCAAGGTGTTCTGTGTTAGTTACATTGTGAAACGTTGTGCTTGAGGAGAATTATAAATTGAAATTTCAGATTTAGCTGAAAATGAAAAATAGTGTTTGATTGTTTGATTCTAATCAAGAGAAAACCAGAACATCACTTTTTCATAGTCTGATGCCGTCGTCATTTTTTCCTTCTTGCTTTCTATACTGCTGTGTTGATTTGAGACATTTGTCAAAATTGCAACCACACCTTCGTCATTTTGCCTTTCTAAGATCTCTGTTTGCCTTCCGCTTTCATGTATGATTATGCATTTGGGATATGGGAATAGTAATATTCAGTTTAATGGCAGAAAACTTTGAGAGCAGGAAAGCTAAATGAGAAAGTGTTGAAGCTGTTTGTAGCAACTGGCAAGGAAGAAGTCCTTTCACTAATCCAGTCACTTAATATTCGGCAGACCCTCACCCCTGTCCTTCCTACCAGTAAGTTTTGTTTGAAAATTTCCAGTGTCCTTCCTTTCCTGTAATATTTGAAACCGATTTTGGCGGCCTTCTTCTGACCTATAATAATATCTCGTGCAGGATGCTCTGAAAAGTTTTGAGATTGGGTGTTGTTGTGTGGGCAGAGTATATAACTTTTGGAAGACAAAGATCAACTAATCAAACAAGCACGTGCAAGTTTTGTTGTTTTTCTCTCCCAACTCCTGTTTGAAGATGTCTGACACAAGCATCAACCCTAGTGAGGTTGACATCGTGGTTGCGGCAATCAACTCCGACCTGACTCCATTCTTGAATGAATGGAGACCAATATTCTCCCCGTTCCATCTGATTATTGTCAAAGACCCTGATATGGATGGGGAGCTCCATGTTCCAGAAGGATTTAACGTGGATGTCTTTACCAAATCTGACATAAACCGGATGGTGGGCTCTTCTCATTCCATTCTCTTCTCTGGTTACTCATGCAGGTATTTTGGTTATCTGGTCTCAAGGAAAAAATATATTATCTCAATTGATGATGACTGCATCCCGGCTAAGGACAACAATGGTCATATAGTAGATGTAGTTGCACAGCATATTGCTAATCTCAAAGCTCCAGCTACCCCATTCTTTTTTAACACACTCTATGATCCGTATCGGAAGGGAGCAGATTTTGTTCGTGGTTACCCATTTAGCCTGAGGAGTGGGGTTACATGTGCGCTATCATGTGGACTGTGGCTCAATTTGGCAGACTATGATGCACCAACACAGGCCCTCAAGCCAGAGCAGAGGAATTCTCGATATGTGGATGCTGTAATGACTGTTCCGGTGAGATCTTTAATGCCTGTAAGTGGAATAAACATTGCTTTTGATCGTGAGGTGGTGGGGCCAGCTTTGTTCCCGGCTTTGAGGTTGTCAGCGGAAGGAAAGATCAGGTGGGAGACCGTGGAAGATCTATGGTCTGGAATGTGTGTAAAGGTCATATGCGATCACCTGGGAATTGGCATAAAAACTGGGATACCTTATGTATGGAGAAAGGAAAGAGGTGATGCCATTGAAAGCTTGAAGAAAGAGTGGGAGGGTGTGAAGCTGATGGAGGAAGTGGTTCCTTTCTTTCAGTCAGTTAGGTTGCCACGATCAGCGGTCACTGCAGAAGACTGTGTTGTCGACATGGCAAAGGCGGTGAAGGAGCAGTTGGGAAAGGTAGATCCTATGTTTGCTCGTGCAGGTGATGCCATGGCGGATTGGGTGAAGCTCTGGAAGTCGGTGGGATCCAGTGCACCGGAAGTTTAATTCCTAAATTCTGATTCAGCCTCTTCTGTTTTATTCCTTCCTTATTTGATACAGATTTTTCTAAGCTTCTAATGATGATCTCCCTTATAGACTAATGATGAGATTATATGTGGGTGAAAATAATTGATACCTTGTTTGTTGTTGTTTTCATGAAGATGGTTTATATAATTTGGTCTTTTATGTTTTTCTAATTACTATTCTTCTAATAGAAGCAATTGTACTATACTAAGTTAATCTAAACTACGGGGAGGGGAATTCGATCTTGGGTATCAAACGGATGATAGTTTTAGAATGCTTGCTCAACTAATCTTAAACTGCATGATATATCAGACCGGTAGGACTAAACACAAAAGCTGATCCGAAACTAGCACGTAGAAGTATATATTTAACAATGGGAAGTGATTTTAGTGCATCATTTTTCTTTTCTTTTCTTTTCTCAATTGACCTCACAGTGGGCTTGTCATAATAATCTGGTTCGAATTAGACTTTTGGCGAGAATCGAACCTACTTCTAACTTACAAGTGAATATGAATATCATTAGACCGTAATACTAAGTGGTTATTTTGGGCCTTTTAGATTGAATAAATCATAATAGAATAAAGAGAGAAATAAACATGGTGTGCAAAGAGAAAAAAGGGCATGCGGAAATCAATTCACCAAACGATAAACTGTCAGAAAACATGTACCAAAGTTAGCAGCTCACTCATATGAGAAACAAAACACATAGCCCGATTTCTTTCACGCTCCGGCCTTGAAAAACAAATGACCTGCTTACCAGTTAGCAGCTCACTCCGAAACTATAAACGTCACTCTTTTCTATCAGCTGGCTGCGCAGAGAGTATACCGGGTCCAAATATCCAAACGTTCCTCGTGCTAACGTAGTTAACTGACTCTCATCGATCCAAATAAGCCTCGAAGTTCCAAAGTTGGAGATCTTTGCCGTGTAATCCTCATCCAGCAATATATTCGCAGTCTTCACGTCTCGTATGATAGGTATGGAAGTTTCCGAGTGTAAGTACGAAAGAGCTCCTGAAATCTTTATCGCAACTTTAAGACGTGTTTGACACGAAAGAACCCGGGAAGAATCTCCTTGCTTCCGATCATGAATGTGACTGTAAAGATTCCCGTTCGTGATGGACTCGTAAACAAGTAAGGGCACCTCCGTCTCCAAACAACAGCCTAAAAGCTTAACCACATTACGATGGTTTATCTAAGAAAGCACGATCACCTCGTTAACGAATGTTTGGATTTGCCTTTCGCCACAAATTTTGGACTTTTTTATGGCGACCACCGTGTTATCTGATAGAACTCCTTTGTAAACTGTTCCAAAACTTCCTTGGCCATGGACATTATTTTTATCATAATTGTTCGTGGCCTTTTCTAGTTCCTCCGCGCTAAAAATTTCGTCTCAACGGGTTCTCTATGATCGGAGAGTTGTTGTAGCAATAGCCCACCATTTTGTTTGAGCTTCATGAACCTTCTTCTCTTTGTTCCCCAATAAATCCATAAACAGTCCCTATAACCGCCAAAAGGCATAGGCAAATATATGCCTGAGCAAAATCTGAAAATGCTTACGATTTCTTTTTTTGAGAAGAGGTCGGGCACACTATCATGACTAATTATCTTAACCCACATATGCGAGAAATGTTAGTATTCAAATCAGACGAGCAAATCCCTCAACCTATTATCATATCATAAACTGCTACATGTAAGAAGCAAACGAATATAATGAAATTATTAAAGTACTTAATTACCTATTGCAATAGCAAGCCTTTTAAATGCAGTATCATCGTTTCGGACGCAACCTTTTTCACTTGTCAATCCATCCCCCTTGAATCCTTTTCGACATTTGCATTTTGCGTCTCCAACTAAGTCACTCTCTTGCGAAAGTCTAGAAGATCTGAAGACGAGAAGTTGTATTCATCAACTTGTACAATAAAGAATAATCGCACGGATGGCTATGTTGGAGTTAGGGAAATATGGTTGTCGTTGTCCGTTTTCTCTACTGTTACAAGCAATGAGAAAGGTTAATTCTAGAGTTGTGCCAAAAGGATAGGGAATGTCGGTAAGATTGCCATAATTGCTTGAGCATCCGGGCATCACCATGATCATCATCATCATCATCCGGAATACTCGTTCGTGTTCTCTCGTGATCTTCAGTTATATATATATATATATATATATATATATACTGATAATTAAGTATTGGCCGCAGCCAAATGTATATTAACATATACACGTATACATTACAAGCTAGGGTTTCAGCTCTAATAATGTAGATGTATCTTCTGCACAATTTTCAGAATATTTTGATATTATTTCTTGCCGTAAGTTTGGAGGTTTGTGTATTTAATATTTACCGAGTGAGAAAGAAATGGGGACCCTTCCTAACCCGCTCACTGACAGACTGGAAGTTTAACAAACCCTATGTTTTGCCGCTCAGTATTACAGCTGTTGGTATTCAAAGTTTACTAACTCAATACCAATATATGTGGGTGATAAGTTTACAAACTCTATCACACCTCTCACTTTGCACTCTCAATAAAATTGGACAAAAAGAAAAAAAGAAAGGAGGGAAGCAACAAACTTCGGCAAACAATGCACTTTGATATATTTCAAAGAGTTTCCAAACTCAATTGCTGAAATGGAATGGCAATCAGATGTAGGGCTGGAAAAAAATCCCAAAAATCCCAAACCAAACCAAAAAAATCCCGATCCCAAACCAAAATTCCCGAAAGTTTCGGGATGTAATCCCAAACCAAACCGAAATTTTCGGTATGGGATTCGGTATTGCATTTCATTTTTTCGGTATTCCCATACCGAACCGAAAAAATATATATATATATATATATAATTTTTTTAATTATAAGAGAATTATTTCAACCGTTGATTGTTTTGGATTTAATCTGTGGCGTCGATTTGTTTTTAGGTCAGATGATAACATTTCACTTTTGTATTCCTCGTTCATTTGTTTCGAAGCGCAGCCGTGAGCCTCCGACCCTCACCAACGTCGTCCCTGTTTTGCTGCAGTTGGATCTCTCTCAAGTTTTGCTGCAGTTGGATCTCTCTCAAGTTTTGCTGCAGGCAAAGCTGTGCATGGATGAAAACATCCCTGTTATTCCTACTGAAACATGTGTGCCTCTTTGTAGCTTTGGTGTTTAAGGAGTTGCTGTCTTTGTTATTTTATCGGGTTGGAAATTTTTGGCAATCTTTGCTGTTATTGAAAATCAGAGTGCCTGCACTTGCCTATAAGCATGGTTTAATCTGCAGAGTTTCGGTGAAAGTTATATGATCCATCATTCACATGTCTCCTTTTAGTACAAAATTCTTAGTACAACATTTATACTGTGTATCCAGCTTAAATATCCTCCTTTCTTTACAGTCTTTACAGTTTGTCTATTCATTTCCTGATCGAGTATGCTATGGTTGGAAAATAGGAAGAGGAGCGGTACATAGAAGTGTTGAATGCATTAATATTATGATTAAGAAAGTGTAGGATTTTTTTGGGAATGAGGGAGCTATATATTTGAGTTCTAAGATATTTGGCTGATCTTTCCATCACCTAATTTTCTCTCCTTTTTTCTTTTCTTTCTGAATGTTCATTCCACACTTAAGTATTCCGTTCATAGTTCAGATTTGCATACCGCTCAGTAAAATTCTTAACACCAATTCTGATTTCTTATGGTTGATGATAAATTCGAAACACCTCTTACTGATGCCTAACTTCTATAGGAAGAATTTACATCATCCCATCCCAAAAGAAATGAAGTTACCGATTATGTTGTCGTGATGGGGGTCATTTACAGTATGGTCAAGCAAGACTATATGATGCAGGTAATTAAGCTCTCACCCTGAATTCCCATTATCTGTGCCCTTTGGTATGAACTTTTGAAACATCCAATGTAACAACTTGATGCAGGAGAGGATCGTCTCTGCTCTTAATCTCAAATCATCTTCAGGAGAATTAGAGAGCTACTGCCTGATGTGGTCTTTGCGTCCGTTCATAAATAACGAAATTATGGATTATGCTTGGAAACTTATTCCCTGAATGTTGCGGGAATCTGAATGCCAAGGTTTGCTTACTGTCAGATTGTTAAATTAATTGTCATAATTTAGTTTATTCCCAAAAGCCCAAAAAAAGGTCGTACCCAGTGCACAAGGTTCCCGCTTTACGCAGGGTCTGGGAGAGGTGAATGTCGGCTAGCCTTACCCCTATTTATGGAGAGGCTGCTCCCAAATTCCCAAAAGCCCAAAAACCCAAAATTATTTTTGGGATTCCCGATTTGTCCCGAAATCCCGAAACTATTTCGGGATTCCTGAAAATTGGGATTCCCGAAAATTTGGTTTGGGATCGGTATTGAAATTGGGATTCCCGAAAATTTGGTTTGGGATCGGTATTGAAATTGGGATTCCCGAAAATTTCGGTATGGGAATCGGGACAAGGGTTTCGGTATGGAATCCCATACCGAACCACCCCTAATCAGATGTAATGTCCTAAAGCCTTACAAGAGGCTTAGTTATACATGCAAAAAGTGACGAACCACTCAAGTGCTTTTAATAAAAAATACAACAACACATGCAATGAATGATGGTGTTTACCATCTTTACACCCTTTCACACATCACCAGCTACTAGACACTTTCAACACACTTTCAGCTAGCACAAGGAGGAAACTTTAGTCTTTGTAGTTGCAGCAAGTGTGAATACAACCTGTAAAGCAACTAACAGCTAGCAGCAACCATTTACAACCTGTTTTTATTTGTATTTCCAATAACAGCTTGGTGATATTTTTTTTTACTTGTAAGCGATAAGTCCTAGGTTCGAATATTGTGAATGGCAAATTCAATACTAAATTAGGTTGCCCATTATGTTGCTTAGCCAAACTCTCCCCACCTCCCTTAGTGTAAAATATATCATTGTACTATTAAAAAAAAAACCCCTAAGTTTTTATTTATTTAATTAAGTTTTTTATACAACGAGACTATTCATGAAATTTGAACTTACCTCTCACGATTACGGATGAAAAAAAATATCATTAAACTGTAGTTGTTTCGTAAAGAATATTATGGCGCCTATCCCTAGCTAGCCAGCTTCTGAAATCAGATGTAGAAGGCATAGTGGAGCATATCCATAGGGATAACTACCTTCTTTTATCGAATAGTTGGTATAGATAGCAAATTAATTAAAGATTAATATTATTTATTAAAGACTTTGGGTGGAAATTTATATATAGATGAAAGAAAATGAACATATTCTTGGAGAGGTTACTTGATTCCAGAAGGGTTCAAAATCAATAATAAATCAAGGGAGAATCCAAATCAACAAATCAAATCCTGTATGAAGGCAACATTAAAACTTAAACATTTACAGTTAAGTGTAAGTTAAACCATGATATTCATCTTACTTGCTGAGCATTAAGTTAAGCAATTTCAATCTTTCTAGCTTTCTGGCTTAGGTTCCTTTTTTGGCATATATAATACAAGCAATAGGAAAGTAGGGGAGAATCAAATTCGACACTCAGGTCTCGAGTTCAAGGGTAAAAGCTCTTAACAAACTGAGCAACATACCTCTTCCTTCTAGCTTAGTGTTTAGGGCAAACTATTTTTAGCTATATAGCCTGTGGCCCCTGTATATAAGTCATGTCTAAGAACAGCGCCTACTATTTTTACTAATTAATTAGCATTTAGCAAATCCTCAGAGTAATTTAGTGACAACATTAGTGAATCCCATTTCTTACTGACTGGGTCGTCCGATCGACCGTTAAAAGACCAATTTTCCAGCCAACCATTTGCGGAAAATGCTCCTCGATGCAATTTGCATGCATGCACATCCAGACCATCTCACTTCTCTTGCTTCTGTGTATATATACTTGGCTTCCTGCAACCTCTTACAAATTCAGTACAAGAATTAAGAAGCAAATCAACATTAATTAAGGATCGAAAAACAACTATGGCAAGCTTAACTAGTCTGTTTACCACCGTCCCCAAATCCGGCCTTGTCGGAGCATCCGTTGCAAGGAACGCCACTTCAACCCCTAGGATTTTTTTGGCTACAGCCCCTAGACGTATTCAAGTAAGTATAAAATATATCACTAAACATGTCCCGATTTTATTGTTGTATTTTTTTTGTTTATACAAGCGATCGATACTAAGGGAGGGGAATTGAACTCGGAGCCTCGGTTGCAATTTAGTGGACTTGATGACATTACATGTATTGAAGAACAATTAATTTGGTTCATGATCGCAGGCAAGTTCACAGCAAGATGCAGCTGCAGAAGTCAATGAAACTAGGAATGCTGCTGAAAATGTAAAAACAAGACTTACTCTACTGCGGAGCATGTAATTAACCACAAATTTCTCGGGAAATTTATAGTATTGACGATTCATCGTGTGATTCCAGGTTTCGCAGACAGCCAAAGACATGGCCAGCAAGGTGTCTGCAACCGCACAGGATGTGTCTGAGAAAGCAAAGCAGACAGCACAAGATGCATGGAGCCAAGCTAAGGGCACCGCCCAGAAGGCGGCAGACACTGTGATGGGCAAGGCCGACGAATCCAAGGAATTCGTCAAAGAAAATGCTGAGCAGGTCAAGAAAAGCATGAATACCAAGAAAGAGACCATATAATTCATCCTGTCCCTTGTTCATATTTCATGTTAACCCTCCTTTTCAAAATTGTGTTATATACGTATTTCCCGTTTCAAATGTATCCACTATGGGAGAGAGACTTACCTACATTACCGGACGCATGGTGTTTTAGATTAATAACATGATGGCACGTTTTAGCCTCGTATAATTGGTCTAGAACACCACCATCTTAGGGTTTCACGTAAGTCCTTCTCCTGTTGTTGAGATATTTTGTTCCTTTTTTCCTTTTGTTTTTTTATTTTGTTAAATTGGGATATTGTTCCTTACACTGCAAGAAAGTGTTTGGTCTCTCTCTCTCTCTCTCTTGTATCAAATGTAAAGGAAATTCAAGTGTCAATAAATCCTTCCCAATTATCTGTACAAAAAGTTCAAAAGCTGTTATTATTTTGAGTTTTTTCGTTCTCAATTTCTCAATAATTTAGATTCATGAGCGGCCACAGAAGAATATCATAAGAAGATCCTTGGCACAACCACAAGCCGAGAAAAATAAGGCATTAGGGGTTGCTGTAACCATTCACTAGAACCGAAGGCAAGCGAATTTTAGCAAATGCTTGCCTTACAGATGCGAGATTTATCATCAGCCAACATATGAGCCAAATGTTATAGAAACAGATAGCGCGTGGAAATCGAAAACCATAACAGAAGGAAAAATGTTCAGAAGAAAAAAAAACATCTAATCCTCTCCCCGCAGAAGGAAAAATGTTCTGCAGGAGCAGCAATTCAAGCTTCACCTACCTTGACCTTTCTTTGCATCCTAACTCAACAAGGAAATTCAAACCGAACACTAGACGGATTATCAATGGAGTATTACAGGAAACTAGGAGTTGGAAATTCTAATTAACAAAGAAACATAAAAGGGAAAGGGAAATCCTAAATCAACGAGGAAAATCAGATGTCACCTGATCCTAGTCTATCCGAAGCTGCTTCATTTTAGCAAATACTAGGTTAAATTCGAAGGGAAACACCAACAGCTGGAACATGCCTAGCAGCACTCGAATCAAACCCGAGGATTTCAATCACAAAAATTATATTCCAGAAAGCAATCAGAACTCCCCTAACCTGAGAGCAAGTAGCAGCCAAACCAACCAAACGGAAATCCCAACTTAACCAGGAAAATTCAAACCAAATCCTAAACAAATTATCTACCGAAAATTAAAAGGAACAAGACTTCCTAAATCGTCCAGGAAAACTTTTAAGTAACAAAGAAACATAAAAGCGGACGTATATTCTAATTTAAGGAAAATCAAACCAAACTCTATATTAGGAATTCCAACAACACGAGGAGTCCTAACTACATGAGGATGAATGTGCCTGACTATATAATATCGAATATAATCAGTTAATCTCAAAACAGAAAAACTACATTGATTTGTTATTACGAACAAGTACTCTATTTTTCCAAGCGGAGAGAGGCTGACATGCTTTCGATGGAGGAGGTGAGGCAATGGAGGAGATGGGGTATCCTCCGAGTTTTCTCAGTCGCACTATGTTTGCTCTTCTTCCTCCACAATAATAATGGTGCTTTTGAGACGATAACGATTTCTGGAAGGCGAGCACTAAGGAGTGTTAATGGTAATGAGCTCAATTTCAACCAGATGCTAACACAACAAACTCATAACACGGTGGAGCTGAACAATGGCATTGTCCGAGTCACTTTTTCTTATCCTGGAGGAGATGTCATTGGAATTCAATACAAGGGAATTGACAACTTGCTCGAAATCAAAAACCCCCCAAGCAATAGAGGTTACTGGGATCTTGTCTCGAAAAATGGCTTGGACAGACTACAAGGAACAACATTCAAGATTGTTACATCGACGGCAGACCAAATAGAGATTTCTTTTAATAAAACTTTTGATATTTCCCTCGGTGATTGGACGCTACCCTTAAATGTTGACAAAAGATACATAATGCAGCGTGGCCGCGCTGGGTTCTATGCATATGCCATATATGAGCGTCTAGAAGGGTGGCCGGAATTGCACCTAGGTCAAACAAGACTCGTTTTGAAACTTCGAGAAGATAAATTTCAATTCATGGCTGTATCAGACGACAGACGAAGATTCATGCCAACAGCCAAAGATCGCGACGGAGACCACGCTCAGGCCCTTGCCTATCGCGAAGCTGTTCTTTTAACTAATCCAAGCAATCCCGACTTTAAAGGAGAGGTGGATGACAAATACCAATACTCCAGTGCAGTCAAAGACATCAAGGTTCACGGTTGGATTAGCACTGACGATGCTATAGGTCTTTGGATGATCACACCTAGTACTGAGTTTCGTTCAGCGGGGCCGTTCAAGCAGGAACTTACCTCTCATGTGGGACCAACTTCCCTCACTGTGTTTCTTAGTAGTCACTACGTCGGGAGAGGTTTTGGACTGACCTTCGCAGAAGGTGAGGCATGGAAGAAGGTTTTTGGTCCTGTCTTTGTGTATCTTAACTCGGACATTCCAAGCTCGAATGCCTCCTTCTCTCTCTGGGAAAATGCAAAGGAACAGATGTATGAAGAAGTAAAGAGTTGGCCGTACAATTTCACTCAGTCCGAAGACTTTCCTAGCTCCGATGAACGTGGATCAGTTGCTGGTCAGTTACTAATATGGGATTCGTACTTCCACGAGGGCCTAGATTCAGCAAGTTATGCTTATGTGGGATTGGCTGCACGCGGATACGCGGGATCATGGCAAATGGAATGCAAGGGTTATCAGTTCTGGACTCAAGCTGACAAGCAAGGTTATTTCTACATAAAAGATGTTCGACCGGGGAACTATAGTTTGTATGCAACTGTTCCCGGCTTCATTGGGGACTACAAGTACGAGCATGATATTACAATTGAACCAGCAAGTGAAATCAACTTAGCTAATATTACCTTCGAACCTCCGAGAAGTGGTCCAACCTTGTGGGAGATTGGCATCCCCGATCGGTCAGCCGCAGAGTTCAACATACCGGATCCATATCCGACCCTTGTGAACCGTTTGTTCACTGACAATTACGCAAACAAGTTTAGGCAATATGGCTTGTGGGAACGATACGGAGATTACTACCCTGACCATGATCTCATCTACACCGTTGGCACAGACAATTACAATGATGATTGGTTTTACGCTCATGTGACAAGAAACAGAAACGGTACATACGAGGCAACGACATGGCAAATTGTATTTCAACTTGAAGACGTTTGGACCGGAGATTATACGCTCCAGTTGGCATTGGCTTCGGCCACCTATGCTGAACTGCAGGTTCGATTCAACAACCAGAACGACACACCTCATTTTTCGACAGGGCTAATAGGGAAGGACAATGCCATAGCAAGGCATGGAATTCATGGTTTGTACTGGCTTTTCAGTGTTGATGTGCCGAGCTATCGACTACAACAAGGATACAACACCATATACCTTACTCAATCAAGAAACTGGGGACCTTTCGCCGGCGTTATGTACGACTACATCCGACTGGAAGGACCTCCACCAGAGTGATTGCACTATTATGTATTACAGTTTTATAGTAAATACGATTTACGATTTCTTTCAACTGACCTCACTTAGCGAGATTAGACTTGATTGTTGTATAATTTCTTTCATATTTGTTTCAAATATGTTTCATATTTATTTCAAATTAGAACTCTATAAATACAAAGTTTCGATAAGTTAATAACAAAATTATAAGCAGAAAATATATTGTTAGAAAAAACAGCCCCGACGAGCCCTTTAATCTGAAAGGGGGCATGCGTGCAAAATTATCGTCATCCAGTAGAGTATATTACATCATATGGAACATACGAACCAACCTTTAAGAAACAGAAACAGCGGAAATCAAAAACATAACAGAAGAGAAAATGCTTGGAAGAACAGGGAACATATCATTCGCTGCCGCTGTCGTCGTCAGGTCCTGCTGCATCCTTAATATCAAGAGTGAAATCATATTCCTGATCGCATCCCAAATATGAATCGCACATGAAGTAAAGAATGAAACTCTTCTCTCCGGGTTCGGCAGGAGCAGCAAACTCGAGCTTCACCTTGGCCCTCCGTTGCAGCGAAACTCTCTTGATGGCGAGCAGCGAGTTTGTCTTGGTATCGCCGACCACAAGCCACCAGCCCTCTTCTTTGGCCTTGGGATACCTCAGGGCATCCACAGGACCTACCTCAGTCCTCCCTTCAAGGTCACGTTCGAGAGTGACTAGCAGAGTGATTTCTTCCCCGGCCCTTATGTTATCCCTATCAAGCACCTCATATAGCATATCAATGTTGGGAAAGCGGTTGCAAAATCGTGCAACATCCAGCAGCTGTGAATCTGACATCTTAAGTAGGTCACGCCTTTCGTCATCATCCAACTCAACCAAATCAAACACTGTCTCTATACTCTTTCCAGGATTTTCCTGGCATCTCTTTGCCAACTCCTCTGTGAAGTGAGGAAGCTGTAGAAGCATCGAGTCCCTGTCCCACATGCCCTGAGTCACCATCTGGCTGACTTCCATGGCTAAGACAGCAAGGCTTAGCCAGCCATTGCTGGAAATGACATCAACCATCGCCTGAAGCAACCTACTAGCGGAAAGGATCACCTCTCGCTGGTCCAACGCTAGGTTACCACCCAGAGGCTGCCTAGCAAAGTGGGCCTGAAGCAGAGCATTTGCTTTAACATGAGGATCTGTGCATTTGGGATTATCAAAGGAAAACCTCTGGTGGTTAATTAGCCTCCGAACTACCTCTTCCTCCCCTGGTCGAATAGGAAGTTGTGAATACTCCGAAGCGTGAGTTAGAATCTCAAGAAGACCCTTCATCTTTGTTTTGGAAGTTAAAGACGAACTGAAACGCTCAATGGTGGTATAACTGATGTAATAGTATGAAGCTATCATGCCAAGATTCAAAGGAGAAAGGTCCATGTCATCCTCGATTGCAACACACTTGCTTGCCTCCAAGTCGCTCAGCGTATTTTCAATAAGCTCCGAGAGGTGATCAGAAAGATGCCGCTGAGTAACTCCCTGAAGATTGTAATAGTTGGGATTTTGTGTGAGCCTCCGGTACAAGAAAGTCCATGTAAGGTAATCGACAGCATCTTGCTTGTTCTCAATTATTCCTGCAACAACTTCTGCATTCAGATTATCATGTAGATAATGGTGCAAATGGCTTTCAACAGGGAATGCTTCGTACAAGAACTTCTTGTAGTATTCTTTACGAGGCGCGTGGCAGAGGATGACACATTTCCCAGAATTATCTAGCAGAGGGCGACTAGCATGACCCATCATCTGCAACAGATCAGTAACAGGGTAATCAGTGTGAACATTTTCCCGGCCATCATAATACTGAGTTCCCATCACAACCACCAAATGGGCTGACAACGGCACTCCCCAGCACATTGAACTGCTCATGACACAAACT